GCTTAGGCAGGGGTGCCCCCTGTCGCCCTTATTATTCATGATGTACCTACAAGGATTAGAGGCAAAATTAGAGGGAAGTGGACTGGGCTTCAACCTCTCTTTACTCAAACAAGGAAAACTTATTGACCAGGCACTACCAGCATTAATGTACGCAGATGATATAGTGCTAATAGCCAACAACAAGGAAGATTTGCAGAGATTGATGGACATCTGTGGTAATGAGGGGATATGTTAGATTTAGATTCAGTAAGGAAAATCAGCAGTCATGACTTTCAATGACAACGAATGTAGTGAGCTTAGAATACAGGAGGTCACGCTAGAGATAACAGATAAATACAAATATCTGGGCGTATGGTAAGCAATGGGACCGAGTATCTGAGGGAACACGAAACATACGTGACGACTAAAGGTAACAGGAATGCAGGCAGTCATGCAAAATAGGGCCACTGTGGAATTACAATAGGTATGATGTTGTGAGAGGAATATGGAAAGGGGTCATAGGTTCCTGGGCTGACGTTCGGCAATGCGGTCTTGTGCATGAAATCAGAGTTCAAGCAAGATTAGAAATTAAGCAACGTGGAATAGGTAGGCTTGCTTTAGGAGCTCACGGGAATACACCAAATCAGGGAGTACAAGGTGATATGGGATGGACATCATTTGAGGGCAGGGAAGCTGGCAGCAAGATAAATTTGAGAAGCGATTGAGAGAAATGGGGCAAGAGCGTTGGGCTAGGAAGGTTTTCAGCTACTTGTACATGAAGAATGTCGATACAAAATGGAGGAAGCGAACCAGGAAGTTCACTGGTAAATACTTAGAAAACAGCAGGTGGCCAAACCAAAAAGAACTATCGGTTAAGAAGAAAGTGAAGGAAACGGAGACTGACATGTGGAGAATAGCATGATTAAGAAGTCCGCACTAGAGATCTATCGAACTTTTAAGCAGGAAATTGCCAAGGAAAGGATCTATGATAATACTCGGGGTAGTTCTCTACTGTTTGAGGCTAGGACGGGAGTACTGCGAACCAAGACATATCGGGCCAAATACGAAGGGGTAGACACAGTATGCAGTGCGTGTGGGGAGGAAGAAGAAACTGCCGAACACTTGATAATGTTCTGTAAAGGGCTTCACCCTATAGTTCAGGATGATGGCGCAGAGTTTTTCACAGCACTGGGGTTTAGGGACCGGAAGGGCAAAATAGACTTTAAGCAAGTAGACTTAACTAGAAGGAGGTTATCTGATTGGTGGCTAAAGTCAAGGCACGAGTGAAAATTAAACTCTTCACTGCAAAGTACGAATACTCAAACTCACTTTTCAAGTAAACAAAATATAGTTTTGAGTTCATTAAGTATTACGGCTTGGCTGGCGCTAGCCCCCGCCCTGATCTAAAGGGTACAGCCATATCCATCTATCTATCTATCTAACCAGTGAGTACAGTGGCTAGAATAAGAAAGTGTGATGAACACGCCAACTAGCGCGTAACGCCTTGGGAGGAAACCGCCAGATGGCGCTAACACACTGTTTGCACGTCACCCAAGGCGGCGACAAGCTGCGCACAGGCGGCAATCAACCACGCGTGCGGGCATGTGAAACATTTAAAATATACATTTTTGCTCGTGCATGGTCTCAAATGGTGACCGAGAAAATATGTTAATTAGCTCCTGGAAGACAGGATGCCTACGTGGGTTCACGACTGAACTCAAATATTGTCAGGTCGACAGGATGCCGAAAGTGAGCGCGTGACGGCACTGAAACATTTTATCGATGTGAAATAAGTGGTAGAAGAGTGTAACGATGAACTAAGTTGTGAGCCATTGCTTACAACACTTTCCACGGCGAACCATCATTTCCTAAAGCGCTAATCTGTAAATAAAGCCCCATCATTCCATCCAGAGGGTCGACTCCATCAAAGTCCTGGGCATGCTGACAGAGTCTACCGGCGCCAACAGCAAATCTATAGCCAAGTTAACTTGGAAAACAGACAGTGCAGTGCACCTCATACGCAGAGTGGCCAACAAAAGAAATGGGATCAAGGAAGACAACCTCATCGGGTTTATGCATGCGTTTGTTCTAAGCCACTTCACGTACGAGGCAGCAATGCACAACTGGTCAAGAGCAGAGTCCGAGACACTAGATGTGTTCCTCAGGAAAGTTATCAAGAAGGTCCTAGGCCTACCCATACATACCAGCACCGAGCGTCTGCTTGAGCTTGACATTCACAACATGCTCCAAGAAAATAGCAGAAGCCCAAGAGAGAGCACAGTTTGCAAGGTTATCTACAACAAGGTCGGGGAGAATGATCCTGCAGGAGCTGGGCCAACACCCAATGGCAATCAGGCACAATTACAATAATATCCCCGAACACATCAGGGAGAATATCACGGTGTCTCCTATACCAAGAAACATGCATCCAGAACACAACATCGGAAGAAGAGTAGCGAGGGCCAGGACTATACTTCGTCAAGTCTCAAACGAGGAACGAGGGGTCGTATTTGTTGACGCGGCTTCCTACGCCAATGGGAAAGCGTTTGTGGCAGTAGTGGTCGATGGGGCTCGTCATGTCGTCTACTCAGCGACGGTCAGGACGAAAGACTCAATCATTGCGGAACAGGTGGCCATCACCTTAGCACTCAAGATGGATAACATTGAAGTCGTCTACAGTGATTCCATGACAGCACTACGGGCGTTCGCCAAGGGGACGGTCTCTGAACAAACGCTGAGGATACTGCAAAGCAAGAACATAACACATCATCTTCTAAGTTGGTTCCCAGCACACCTTGGGCAAATCAACGATTCCCCTCCCAATCTCAATGAAGCAGCACACGAGGCGGCGCGAGAACTCTCCAACCGCGCCTCCCCGTGGATGCGTTCTACCGGTGAAGGGGATAACCGGGAAATTCTTACAACATATAACGAGCTCACTAAACATTTCTACCTGTCTAGAAGGATTTTCCCTCCACCTCACAAAAATCTAACCCGGCCCCAAGCACTTACATTAAGAGTTTTGCAAACGCTGGATGTACCCTACTTTGAAAATGTTACACATCATGTACCCTGACCTATACCCAAGTAATCTTTGTCCACATTGTGGGGAAATAGCTTCATTAGAACACATGCTCTGGCAGTGCACCAAATTCGCTCATATATCGAACATCACCTCTGCCAGATGGAAGGCGGCAATCCGCAGTTCATCCTTGGCAGATCAGCTCTGGGCTGTCCACCAAGCTCGCGAGGCGGCTGAGGAGCTTGGCATCTCAGTCCCCACGTGGGAGCTGCCCGCAACACAGTAGATCTGTGTTTTGGAAGGACCAAATAAAAGTTTATCCAGTCCAATCCACTCAAAACGTCATACTCAGAGACGAGAATCACAAGCGGTATCTGGATGAAAACCTTTTATATTCCGCACACAGGTCATACAACGCATTTCCGAGTAGTGACTCACTATCTGTTTACAACAATCCATTCTTAATAATTTGTCGCACATCCTTTTTTATCCCCAAGAAAAAAAAGCTTTAGAGTTCACAAGCGCCCCAAAGAACATTGGGCTGCAGGCCTAGGTGATGCGACTGAGCCTCAGGTAGCTCCTCCTTTCACGGGAAGATGCTCACTCCTTGTGGAGTACCTTGGTGTAAAAACGCAATTGGGTGAGCAGGAAAAAAACTTGTTTCCTTGATCGGTGAGGCTCAGACCATGTTGTGCGACAGTGTGACATCTTTTTTTTTTTTTTCAAGCAAGAAACAAGCTCTTCCAAACTGTAACTGTGAAGCTCGTTGAAGGTAAACCACTTTGAAAAAGTGATTTCAAAGACGTCTAAAAATGCGAAAAGGTTCTCAGAAAGGCCTACCCATAGGCGTCAGCACGAGGGGGCAAAGGGGGCTGGCTACCCGGGAGGGGGGCACTAAATCTGCTCAATACATTGACTAGGCAGCGTGGCATTCTTTTAGTCATCTAAAAATGAGCGTAAAATCTGCCTCATACACTGATTTAATAGGGAGGAGGCGCCCTGCAATGAACCTTCGCTCCCCCCCCCCCTACTGATCGGCAAGCACGCGCACGGGTCTACCCCTTTCAATGCGGACAATTTCGCCAATCACAGTGTGCTCGAAGTGCTGGGAGATGTACTTTCGCTGAATTGCAGCTCGCACACAGCCGAGTTGTTTTGAAGCAGCTTGTCAGCGCGTGAGATCGCTCTCCGCCACTGCGCTAACAGAGCTTCGTCCTCTGGAACGACGAACAACGCATGCTTCTTTTTAGCTGACTTGTAGCCTGTAGTGAACACCGGGACGAAGCAATGACTTTGTTTACGCGCCATGAGAGTGCATACAGAAGCACTGGTGTCAGAGTGCCACCGCAATTAAAAAACGAGGATGTACGCGCCCGACGAAACTGTCGGAAACGTGCAAACAACGTATGAACGATGGTGCGCGCACGGCTTCTCCTCGGAGTATTCCAGCCACTGTACCACAGAACACCTACCAGTTTACTGTACCATGAGCAACTAATGAGCCGCCACTTTGTTAACATGTGGGCTTCTACAGGAAGCTTCGCTACTCGCTAGATTTGCCCTCTGTGTAACTCTGGTTGGGGTTATAGGCACGGCCGGACTCGACGCTCCTTCTCCGGCGCTCGGAAGGAGCGTCGAGTCCGGCCGTGCTCTAGGCAGCGCCAAAGAACAGCGGCGCAGCGAACGGAAGGCGCTTGCGGGAGGGACCAATCGAAATGGGAGACAAATAAACCGCGTGACGTACTTCAACCAATGACAGTGGTTGCGCGCGCAGAACACATTCTCTAATCTCTATACGATAAATGGTGACTCTTCTGCGCATGAGCTTGGCGTGCGCAAGACACGCGCGCCGCATCTGCCGCTACCTCAGTGGGGCGAAGTGCAGCGAAACGTGTACTACCGTGTTGTGCCGCGCGGGGTAGCGTGGCGAGTGCGCGTCGAAATTCGAAGCGCGCCAAGCGTGGGTAGCATTGTTGGCATAGTGGCTGGAAAGTCGAAGATGAATGACGGTGCTTTAGCAGTGGAGGACGCCGGCGAGAAGGTCGCCGTGTTAACTGTGAGCGACGAACTCTCGGAACACGATGGACCGATTCCCGATTACGGTGAGGTCTCTGAGATTGGTCATTTCTCCGTCAAGGATGACGAATACGTCGACAGTGCAGTGCTCAGGCGATACCTGCGAGTGCCATTTCCTGAGAGTCGCAAGTGGAACTTGAACAAGGGATACGGAAATGCGTTGCCTAGAATGTTTGATTCGGGCAGTAGTTCTCACCTACTCCACTGGGTTCGTCTCCACAAAGACAAACTTGTGTCACCGCCATCACCAGATCTGGAGCGACCTTCGACTTCATTGGAAGACCGAAGGTGAGTGCGTGTGGAGTTGATCTTGTTTGCTAAGAAAAAAAAAAAATGTCTTCAAGTGGCTGCGTTTGTAGGAATGTTCCCGAGTATCACCCGACGTAAATGTGCGTTGCGATCCGCTTTTTTCTTCGCATCCATCAAGGTATAGCAGTAGTGATTGATGCTCTGAAAGCTTACTTCATGTGCGTGAATGTCTTGTATTGAGAGAATAAGAGACAACGCCCGCACTCAAGTCACGCAGCAATGAAAATATCTATAACTGCTAAAAGCGAGACATAGCCATGTTAGCCCAACCGTAAGCGAACCGAGAGTGATTCACAGGCACCGAGGCATTTCTTATCGCCTCTCACGCAAGCGCTTCGCCGGTGCGCCGCGCGTTATTCGAATACTTGAAGAAATGCCGCGGCTGTTTGCGTAACATGACAGGTACAGTGCGGGCTTCGAGTTACTGTGTAAGATGCATGCTACCCTAAGGTAGCTCCCGAATACAGTAACTCTCCGTCTCATTTCTCCGCACCGCCACACTTGAATACCAAAAAGGGGGGGGGGGGAGCCAGATTTTAAACTTTGTGTACGTAACGATAGTACGGCGAATCTGTGGGGAGGTATAATAAGTTCACTCTCAACGGAATAAAAACGGGATGGCAAGATGGCTAGAAGCGGCGCTGTTTTTCCTTAGCAGGCCGATATTGAGAGTGTCGGGCTCATTCTGTTTTACTAAGCGGGGATGGCCGGAAGAAAGCGCTCCTATACAGAGAGCTTTCTCGGATCAACTGCGATAATGATGAGGTTGCTCACAAAGCCAGCATCGTTGCATGAAGGGTGGATTTCTTTCCTCTCTTGGGCATTGCAATGGCGGTAGTCTACTCCCATACTGTTGGAAAGGGACCTTTGGGGAAACATTGCTCGTAGAAGTCATTGGTTATCCCTTGAAGTACTCGTCACTGAGGTTCCCGATCATTGCGTTTGCAAATTGGTCTGAGCATGAGCGCAATTTCGCTAAGCGGCCTGTGCTGTGCGTAGACCTCATTGTTTTTGTGGGTCTAATTAGCTCTTTGGGATTCGCGAGTACGTATTGCACTTTCAGCTATCCGATTAATGCAAACGCGTTGCCCTTGAGTGCCTGTCCCTTGATCCTACTTATAAGAAGTCACCAGCTTTTATTTCTAAAGTTCTTGACACTTGGTGGAGTTGTGAGGTTCTAGCATACGTATTACGATTGCCCATGTGTTTGCAGTGTAACTATAGTGTCTTAATTGAGGGCTGCAAAACACGATCAATCGTTCTGTGCCCAAGTTTTTGGCGTATTTATTTGCCTGTTAGTGTTATGCAGCTATTTTCTCGTGTGTGTTGATTTAGGCGCTATTTTTCCGGCATCTTGACGTTTCCCCTGTGAATTCAAGATTTTCATTCTAAAGTGTTGTTACATCATTAATATTTAACCAGTAAGCTATATATTTAACCAGTAAGTTATATATATTAACCAATAAGATATATATATATAACAGTAAGTTATATATATTAACCAGTAAGTTATATATTTCGCCTCATTTTACAATGATGAATTCGCAGTAGTGGGGACACGCAAACGTAAAACAGCAAAAAAAAAAAAAAATCAATCTCTGCCCTGCGTATACTTTCTTAGATTTACATTAAAACCAACACGAGTGGTTGAATGCTCTAGCGCCTTTCACGCAGTACGTCTTCCATTCGACCATCCTTTACTTACCAGAGTTGTGTCTTTTTTCTTAGCTTTCACATCTCTTTTGTGTATGGAGCTTGCGTATCAAGATTTGTTTCCCGCTTTGCACAGCTCACGCACGGTGTTCCTCTGCGGTCGGTTCGTGCTGAAAACTCTCATGTGCACACCGTTCTTCGAAAAGCAAGCCTGGCTGCTGGGGGCGTGCCGATACCGAGACTTCCTGTTCATCTACCACTTGGATGCGGAGCCCGAAGGGGCCGACTCCTCCGAAGGCAGGCCTGACTGGCGGCGTGATCGCGTGCGTTATTGGGGTGCGAAGTTTGCTCGCATCATGACTTCAAGTAAGCACTAAGCATTCACTTAAATAGCGAGCGTAGTTTTTCCTATTCCACACGCTGGAAGTGCTAATAGAGTTTGGGTTTTTACGCCTGTGCATAAAAAACAGCGGCTCGAACCGGCGACTTCGTGCCTCGCGCTCCTGTGACGCGGTTCCATTTACAGAGTGGCATGGCCAAGCAGACGACGCCCGAGCCTAGAAAATGAGAATAATAGTTTTTGGCACTCAGCAAGAACTCTGCTGATGCGCCAAGTTGGTGGGATTCTGGCGAGAGAACAAGATTTGACGATTGGCGAGCAAACTTCAGCTTTTTGTGCAAGATTACGCGCATCAGTGCGAGTTACGTATCGTTGAACCTGCTCATCTAGATACAATATAAGTAAACGCTGGAATGCACGCGGCCGTCATTTTGAAATAGTGACCGGCCCACTTACCTGTGCCTCTAAGGCGGCCAGCGTGAGGTTAACACATCTTCTCAGTGATAATTGTTACCGCAGAAGCTTGAAGAATCGGGAAATCGCGAAATGAAGTACGCTGGAGCGCATCATTGGCTAAGAAATAGTAGGTGTAATATTAATTAATAGGAACACGGTAGAATGAATCAGAGAAACGGGCTGCGGCATCCGAACAGGGATTGAAAGGGAATAGAACTGGGCGGTTCTCGAAAGGCGCACGACAGATAACTGACACTAAGTTGGAACGTCGGAATCAATAACAAGTGATGGGAAAACTCTCAAATGCTGTAGAGGGTTAGGTGCTGGGTTCAAATTCAGAAATTTGTAAAAAAGTGCAGGCATACCGCGGATTCGGCTCGTGCATTGTATAGTTAAATTGTTGCATAGAAGTTATTAGTGTGTTAAAATTAATGAGTACGGCCAAGTGTTTGAAAAGCTTTTGGTTATTTGATGTAAGTTACTCGTTGTTTGTAGTGTCTGAATTGATTAACAAATTGAGTCAGCTCTGGGCACTAGTTGCGTGAAAAGTTGGAAAGCTGCGGAGTTGGCGGCCTTGATTCACCGCCTGATTTGCTTGCTCCTCGCTCTCCCATCCGCTTCCGTACTTCACTGCAGGCTATTTTACCTAAGAAGTATGGGCGCCGCCACCTCGTCTGTTTAGTCAATGTTTTTTTTTCTGTGGTAAGTGAATTAATAAGCTTATGGAACATCGCATGCACCTACTCAACCGTTTCCATTTTTATGCGTCTACCGTAACACTGTTCGTTTAGTTGTTAAACACTCAAAACACAGAGTTTTCTGCTTCAGTAATATATGGTTTTCCTGAAGCCATTCTGCAACCCCCTTCCTGCTTTGGAGCCGTCACATTGCATATGCTATGGAATCACCGTGCATAGCACGCAAGGGAGTTACGTTCACTCACTGCCTTCTGTTATTACGAAGAACGCCGCCACAGGTGCAAACGCCGAAAACAGCTACCACAAATGAGGGTAAAAACGTGCACGGCAGCGGCCCGGGCTGCGCGCGCCGTTGATAATCAGCTTTATTCGGCGTATCAAAATTAACCGATTTGCCGCACACGTGCCAGGACTGCCCTAGTAAATCAAGCTATATCGTCTTCAATAAACAAAAGCGAACACATTAATTTAGTACGCCGAAGTCTTCATACGGACCGTTTTTTTTTCCACGTTTGCACGACTGGACACAAGCTACTCCTTGATTATCGACGCAAATATTATAAACGCTTGCACGAAACTGCATCTCAACGACGACAAATTGTGCCTTCAGCAATGCAGACACAATCTGCCATCAGCCAACAATCACCCTTGATAATTTATTGTATCATTCATATGACGTTTTTTTTTTTTTTTTAAAGACGTGCATAGCGGTCTCGTTCGTAGGCGGTTTAATTCGGGATACTGCAACGTTGTCCGCTTCCGCAGCCCCTTTCAATAGTCAATTTCAGCACGGAGCCAACGAAGCCAACCGCGTGAGCGCAACCAGGCAACACACGGATGACAAAAACAACTTCGAACATGCCCAAATTTTCTGGAAAACTACCGTACACGCATGAGAGAGACAGGCAGACGGGAGGCGCCGCCGCCTCTGTCGCGCCGAGGTGGCGCCGATGCTGCCGACTAGACAGCGCCCCGCCGCCCCCCCTCCCTCCCTAATACCGTGTAAGAGAAGGGGGGCATCGGAACGACCGACGTGGCTACGTCGCACAGAACACCTACAGAACATAGCCGCGTCTCGCCACATGTTCCAACGGGCGGTCTTAGCGGCGGTACTGTAGTGGCTGCAGTCTGCATTTGACGCGCGTGCGTCGTAGGTAGGAAAGCCTGTAATTGCGCATTTAGGCCCCTCAACGAATTACTGAGCTTTAAACACCAACGAAAAAGTACGTGAAGAAGCGTAAACCCGATGTTTCGGAACCGACATGCTTCCTTCCTCAGGGGGACTGGGTCTAAGTTGCAGTGGCGTCTTCAAAGTACTCGCGGGGTGGTTAATGACCCCCCCCCCCTCTCTCTTTGCCATTTTGCCAAGGGTTCCGAGAGAACGGTTGATGTTTTGGGCAGTTCGCTGGCCACGACTAGATATTCTTGGTCACTCTCGCCACGAGTCGAGTAGTAACCTTCTCCTCCGGTTCGTCTCAATTTCAAGGATGGTCCTTGCGTCAAAATTTAACTGGTGGTCAAACGTCTCGGAATGCTCGGCGACTGCGCTGCGCTCTTTGTTGAGCTTCCGGACGTCGTCGGCGTTTCGTTTGAGCCAATATACGAAGAAGGGCCCTGAGCGCACGGGATTTTGTAAACGACACCGGGGGTCCTGTCCATTGTTGGCCGGCCTTTTGGACAGATATGGAGGCGGCCCAGCGTATGTGAAGGCGGGCTTCATTTTTGAAGACTCGTGCCAACAGCTTGCTGGTTCCTTGGACGTATGGGACGGGTACGCGTTTTGGAGGGCTGCCTATTAATGCTGATTGGGGATTTCGTATCCTCTGTTGCACTGCGTGGCGGGTGACGGCTCGTATGAAGTTTTTTGGGTATCCGTTTTTAAATGCGAAGCATTTGTTAAGGCCGTTTCACATGACACAAAAAGTAGCGATCCGCTTTTAAATGCGAAACATTTCTGAAGGCCGTTTCACATGACACAAAAAGTAGCGACTTTCAGGCTGCGAATTCGCCCGCAGCGAAAAAAAGGGCAGTTCGCTCCCGCCACAGCGGTCCGCGGCGAGCTTCCAACTTGTTGGAAATTTTCGCTCTGGTCGCAGCGGCGGGAGCGAGTTTTGGTCGAGACTCGTCGAAATAGGGCTGTTCCGGCCAAGCCGTCGAAATAGAGTCGATGTGTTTGTTTTGGTAGCAGCCGATGCTGTGCATTTTAAAATGAATTTAGACTGGAGAGTGTTCTTAAATGACGAAACAAGTGGGCCCTTCGTTACCGTTCACGGAAACTTCATGATATCATAATGCACATATTATTATATTACATTGTCACTAAGAGCGCTGGTGATAAATCGCCGCTCCAGTCGCAGAGTAAAAATCACGCACCACTCGCAGTCCATGTGACACAAAACCGCCATTAGTGATGATTGCGAACAGAGCGATTGGAGCGAACGGAACGATTTTTTTCGCTGCAATCGCGGCATGTAAAACAGCCTTTAGTGAGCTTCGGCGACTTTGAGCGTATCTATCTATCTATCTATCTATCTATCTATCTATCTATCTATCTATCTATCTATCTATCTATCTATATCTATCTATCTATCTATCTATCTATCTATCTATCTATCTATCTATCTATCTATCTATCTATCTATCTGTCTGTCTGTCTGTCTGTCTGTCTGTCTGTCTGTCTGTCTGTCTGTCTGTCTGTCTGTCTATCTATCTATCTATCTATGTATGTAGCCACTTATGTTTGGGTGCTCTCGTGGCCACCCCCTTAACTTGGCTATCTATCTATCTATCTATCTATCTATCTATCTATCTATCTATCTATCTATCTATCTATCTATCTATCTGTCTGTCTGTCTGTCTGTCTGTCTGTCTGTCTGTCTGTCTGTCTGTCTGTCTGTCCGTCCGTCCGTCCGTCCGTCCGTCCGTCCGTCCGACCGACCGTCCGTCCGTCCGTCCGTCCATCCATCCATCCATCCATCCCTCCATCCATCCATCCATCCATCCATCCATCCATACATCCATCTGCTTATGTTTGGGTGCTCTCGTGGCCACCCTCTTAACTTGGCTGGCGTGAACCAAATTCAGCATGGGAGGGTAATATTGTGTGACAAATGAGACACGCTTGCCAATACATGAATAATTTCACAATCCCGTCTGGTCAGACAGAGGCACATACCCACGGGTGATGTGGTGTACGGTGGTGGTGGTGGTATGTGCAGCTGGTGTATGGGTATGTGTCATAGGTGATTGACACTTAGTATCAACCAAGGAAGCATGAGATTACGCACCGGGATATTTTAACACGTGAGCATTAAGAAATACTGGACATCTGCAGCGTTGACCCAATGAAGGCATAGAACGAATGTCATTGTTAAGAAAAACCTCACATAGGCAACGTTGACCCCTCTACGACTGCAAATAATGAATTTCAGGGTCTCAGCAGGAATCGAACCCAAGCATTCTGCATAGCAGTCGAGCATTCCACCGCAGAGCTACGCCAGGTCTCGGAACTACTTTCCAAATAGACAGAGTCCAAACGTCAATAGTGGTTGCAGTGATGCGTACCCAGTTTTATAAACATTACATATTGTCACGTCGCTCCAGAGGGGTGTCGACAAGGTTTATTGATGTCCGAGCAACAGGGCTCTAACCAAGCGCGTTGGTTGGGCTTGTTTGCCAGAGCGTGGGTTCACGCGCACTTCTTTCTTCTCTGTGGTGTGTGCCTTCACCTTGGCATACGACCCACTACTAGGAGTAGGTGGCAATATTCCTCCTCAACAAAAAAAAGAAAGAGCATCGTCCCGATGCTGTAAAGTTATTGAAAAAAAAAACCAAAACAAAGTAGGCTAAACAATGAAAAAGGGCACCAATGATCAAATGTTAGACGCGATAAGTTCACCAATGATGAGGCAATTGTCAAAGCACAAATAAAAAAAACACAGAAAAAGTGGTCTTTTAGGAACGCGCAAAATAGGCCTTCATGCGCACCACGTGAACTATGTCAGAGGTCGGTTGTTTTCGTTGTGCCCATCGTGACGACGTAGCGTCCGGAACCACTTCGTAGTTTACGTCGCT